TAATATACTTAATAACAAAATTAAATTGAAACAGCAGTCATAAATGCTAAAATGCTGAATATCAAACCTGCCAACAGATAGCTCATATTTGTTTTCTAAATAATCTGTAGGCAGCATTTTTTCTTCAAAATGGACACCAATGCTATAAATGACTAATTTAACTTACTTCAGTTAGCTGAAATTAGGTCAGACAAACACTTAGAAATGTTGTAATAGAAATGTTCTATTTATATATTTTTTCATTTTGGTAATGACATTGATAGAAAGACTCTAACTAATAAATAAAAATAAATAATATTACTTATACTAATAAATAATAAATAATATTATATAATATTGTGTCTACTCTGTCAGTCGCTTTGGATAAAAGCGTATGCCAAATGCATAAACACAAATAATCTATTATACCTTAGTTTGACAAACGTGTGATCAAATGCATTTTTCACCATTTCTAATTTTATATCAGAAATATTTCGTTTTGATCTCAACAGTGAGCTTAATCTTCAAGTTCATTTATTTGAAAAGCGAACTGATGAATATAACGTATGACATGCCAGAACAAGCATTAAAAAGATATCTGATTAGAGGCAAATTCTCTTTTTCAATATTATTTTAATTAATAGAAAGTGACCTTTTAATCTATCTTTTTTTATTTGCACAAACACAGAAGGAGGTTCACTTATAAATGAACAACTCAAACAAACGTGTCACTCTGATGAATGAAAGTTTCTTTTTTTTCTATTGAATTCTGCTCTTTAATAGAGAAACATACTCGGAAAATGACATGAGCCTTTTTAAAGCAGTATTTTATAGTACCAGCCCCATACCTGTCTACAGCAATAGCAACCAGAGTGAAGACGGACGCTGAGACAGAAATCCCTTGCACCATCCCGCTCATTTTGCAGACCAGGCTTCCAAAAGGCCATCCTGCAGGAAGAAAAAACGAAAAAAGGCCTTTAGCTTAGTTACCGCCGAGATAACGAGCACAGACAGATGGCAACACTCTAACCTCAGGTTGTGACTCATGAAGCACCATACTTTTGGTTCAAAAGATAATCAACTGTTGGGGTTTAAAAAAAACCCAGAGGGCAGTGAGAAAATGTGTTCAGATTTTTTTTTTTTTTTTTACTCCCCAGAGTTTACTCACCATCTGTTCAAAAGAAAAGAAGTTCCTCTTCGGACATTTATTTTATTTAACTTTTATTTTACCAGGAAGTCCATTGAGATAAAATCTCTTTTTAGAGGGAGACCTGGCCAAGAGGCACAAGTACAGTCAGACATACAGGACTGTCTCAGAAAATTAGAATATTGTGATAAAGTTATGTATTTTCTGTAATGTAAATGAAATATTAGAATATCGGATTTTTGAGTTTTCTTCAGCTGTATACCATAATCAGCGATATTAAAACAATAAAAGGCTTGCGATATTTCAGTTGATTTGTAATGAATCCAGAATGTATGACATTTCATTTTTCTTAATTGCATTACAGAAAATAAAGAACTTTATCACAATATTATCATTTTCTGAGACAGTCCTGTATAAGAACACAGGACAACATAATAAAATCAATCATAAACTAGACTCTAGAGTAACAGTTACAATGCTCTGTGCAAGCGGTTTTCAATAGGGATTTAAAATGCTGTAGCGGAATAAGAGTCCGTTATTGCAGGAAGTTTTGAATATCGTGCCATGACTATGGTGCTGCATAGAAAAATGATGTTTTGCCAAGATCTGTGTTGATCCTGGGAATAAAGAACACAAATTGAAGAGTGTGAGTTGTAACCACTGTTAGCTACAGACATGAGGTGGATAAGAAATTGTCATAACCTTTTGCTTAAGCAGTCCTTCGTGTAGATTACCTTTAACGAAATCTAATTTGTTGTCGTTCTTATTTCTTGTGTAATTGGTGTTGTGAATTTACGAAGTTAGATTAATATTTCTTTATGTTTGAAGAAAGCGTTTTATTTTGAAGGGCTCTCGGGAGACCTCGGGACTGTCGAGGAACGTTGAAAAAACGTTAGAAAACAAACGGTCGCTATATTAAGGTGTCAAAACGGTTACGTAAAAGTATTAGCTCCTGGCTAAAAGGGCACAAGGTTTGCGGTTTCGATTGTTATTATTTTTCCGATCTATTTTTATCTAAGATAACACGGTAATTTGTCTGTAAAGTTTAAAGAACTGTTTATTGGAATGTAATTGTATTTTTTTCATTTATCAATTTTCTTTTAGCTCTTACGGTAAGTTCGTATAATACCATTAGAATAAAAGGATATGAACCATCAGTTAAAGAGTCCGACCATCGATTAGCCGGGGACGCTACACTTCGACTTTGAATAAAAAATCAAGTCACAAGCAGCATGAGTTTCTCAAAACCCATGAGTTCCCTTTACTCTAAAAAGCACAAAGGCCAAAATGTATTCAAAGGGATAACAGGCAAAAAACTAGGGCCGAATGATTTAAAGCGCCATATAATTGGTTTAAAGACTTCTACGCATGGGATTTGTGACAACTTTGTAGAGCTCACACCTACAAACACCTCAGTTTAATGAAAGAAATAATAACCAGAAATAATTTAGCCAAGATGATCCCTCCTCATCAGTTTTTATTTAAAGAGGCTGGTAATTGTGGCTGGTTAGATACTGAGAGCATACATCTTATTTCAGAAGACCAAAACAAGCCATTAGCATTAGCTATTAGCCTTGTTGTTGTGCTTGTCATATATTGAAATGGAGAGTTGGATTAAACATTTTCTGAGGGTTTATAGCAGAACGGTATTGTCTTTATGAGTGAGATACAGCCAACCATGAAAAATCCCATTTTAGCATTTAGATATTTTAATGTGCAGCTTCTAATATTACATCCAGATTTACAGTTAGCATTTAGCATCTACTTACGCAAATACAAGATAATGAACAATCAAGTACTGATGCATTAACTAACCACCTTAAACTCAACACCTCCAATAAGAAGGAACTTGTTATAGACTTTGGGAGGTCCAACCTAGAACCCTCTGGTCCTGGTTCCCCCGGGACTAGAACCCAGAACCCTCTGGTCCTGGTTCCCCCGGGGACTCCAACCCAGAACCCTCTGGTCCTGGTTCCCCCGGGACTCCAACCCAGAACCCTCTGGTCCTGGTTCCCCCGGGACTAG